ATTTACTTCAGCTTTACTTCATTTGCACAGCCGCGTGTCAGAACAATTATAAAGGAAGACGCTTCAATCCTGGATTGTAGGCGTTAAATCAGGTTTATTTTGTACAATAACATAACAGATATCCACACAGCAGTGAAGATTAGCCTGTATGCTGTCACATTTGAGTGCAAATACAGTGCAAAGCTAAGCGCGCTCTGTCTGTCTGCCTGTCTGTGTGTGTGTGTGTGTGTGTGTCCCAGCTGCGGTGTGCGTGTGTATCTCTGTGTGTGTGCGCGCGCAAACTTTGTAACGATATTGCATGTGACTCATCAATGCAACTTCACAACAAATACTGATTAGTAAAACGTTTACTGTAGTATTTCTCACAAACGCTACGTGAGACCTGCTTCCTTTAAGTCTGTCTGTTGTCTGACGCAGCCGAGGGAGGAGATTAAAGCACTCGTAGAATCAGTAGGTGGGAAAGACTCGTCTTAAAGGCGCAGTACAACAAAACCACCCCCTGGTGGAAATGTATATAAAACAGGATCTTGTAAAAGGTATAATGAAAAATCTGATGGGTGTTTTGAGCTGAAACTTTACATACACATTCTAGAGACGCAAAAGACTTATATTAAATCTGAAAAAAGGGGTAACCTGGTGCCCTTTAAATTGTAATTTAATCTACTACTACTCTTTAATCCTAGTATCTTGAAAAATATCTAGTCAAATATTATATACTGTCATCATGACAAAGATAAATAAAAGAAAGCAGTTATTAGAAATTAGTTATAAAACTGTTATCTTTAGAAATGTGTAAAAAATATACAGGGGGAATAATAATTCTGACTTCAGTTGTATGTGAATAAAATAATATTCAATCCTATGTGCAGATATTGTCTCAGAAACAGCCAACCAGTCAGAATTTATTCAGAAAAGACATTTCCATCCACCATATTATTCACATTATCTTTCAAAAAAGTAAATAACCTCTTCAAGCAAGCATTTTTAAATTAAAATATTTGCATTTATTATTATTAATAGTAGGACATACAAAGTTTGATGCCAGCACTCAGCATAGCAAGAAGTTTCCAGGTGCGCGTTCTAGCTGTGCCAGGATGCCACTGTGTGCAGTTTGCATGTTCTCCCTGTGTTCATGTGCTCTCTCAGAAATAATGGTACAAAATCTGTCACAGGGGCGGTACGTTTTTAAAGGTACATTTTGGTTCTTAAAAGCTCCTTAAAAGGTACATAATAATACTTGTAGCAAAAGATCCAAAGAAAATCAGCACACAAAGAAAATCAGAAAATCTTTAATGTTACATTTTTTGAGAGCTAAAGTGGCAGTGTGCCGATTTTCTTTGGATCTTTTGCTGCAAATGTTTTTTGATCAAGCATCTGCCTTCAAGATTTACTAGATGTGCGCACATTTCTGTTTTTTGCAACACAATAATCCTTTAAAATGAGAAATGTGTAGTTCACAGTAACTTAAAGGTACAAAAGTCAACCTTGAAAGTGCAAATGTGAACCTTAAAGGTACAAAAGTATACCGTAAAAGTACTGATGCCCACCTCTATGGTACAAAAGAGTACATTTTAAAAAGGTACCACCACAGACAGATTTTGTACATCTATTTCTGAGAGTGTGGGTTTCCCCAATATTGCAAAGACATGAAGTACAAGTGAATTGGTTAGTGTACAGTTGAAGTCAGAATTATTAGCCCCCCTTTGAATTTGTTTTCTTTTTTAGATTTTTCCCAAATTATGTTTAACAGAGCAAATAAATTGGTCCCACTTTATATTGAGTGTCCTTAACTACTATGTACTTGCATCAAAAAAATAAATACAATGTACTTACTGTGTTTATAATGTATTTGAGAACACTTGTGGTGCTCTTGAGTTAGGATAGAGGTTGGGTTATGGACAGGTTTGGTGGTATGGGTAGGTTTAAGGTGTAAGGGATGGTTAACAGTGTATTTACAAATGTAATTACAAAAGTTAATTACAGATGTAATTACATACATGTATTTAATCAAGCATAAGTACACAGTAAATACATGTATTTACACAATACGTACATTGTAACAAACTATTAGTTCCTGTGTAAGAACATATTAGTTAAGGCCACTTAATATAAAGTGGGACCAATAAATTTTCACAGTATGTCTGATAATATTTTTTCTTCTGGAGAAAGTCTTTTTTGTTTTATTTGACTTGAATAAAAACAGTTTTTAAATTTTTAAACACCATTTTAAGGTCAAAATTATTAGCCCCTTTAGGCAATTTTTTTTTCGATAGTCTACAGAACAAACCATCATTATACAATGACTTGCCTAATTACCCTAACCTGCCTAGTTAACATAATTAACTTAGGTAAGCCTTTAAATGTCACTTTAAGCTGTCTTGGAAAATATCTAGTAAAATATTATTTAATGTCATCATGACAAAGATGAAATAAATTAGTTATTAGAAATTAGTTATTTAAACTGTTTAGAAATGTGTTGAAAACATTTTCTCTTCGTTAAACTGAAATTGGGTTAAAAATAAACGTGGGGGGGGGGGGGGGGGGGGGGGGTTGGGGGCTAATAATTCAGGGGGGCTAATAATTCTGACTTTAACTGTATATCTGTTAAAACATAGCTCCGAAGAGATTTGCTTTAGATTTTTGAGATTAGTCAGGGTCTGCTGAATGAAATGTGTTAATTCCAGTGTGTTTCTGTTTAGGATTCAGTGAACAAATGTGGGAGAATAATGACACTTCGTTGCATCTAGTTTATTAGCAATTGTTTACAATTTAACAGAAGTTACACTAATAATTCACACAAAGCATTGTGGATATAATCCTCTACAAGAGCTTTAATTCTAAAGGTATGGCTGCCTCATTTGACTCCAGCTGGATGTCACACACACACTGACAAACACACAGTCTCTGTTGGTTACATAATGCTTATGTCTGCACCTGGACATGTTGTGGCATCTTTTCCCGAAGGTGTGTCGTTGTGGTTTAAATGTAGTTAGTCACACACGCACAAATGCACGCACGCACGATGACATTGGGTTTTCATGTTTTATTGGCTCCTAGCATATATATTCATTTTTAGACTGTATTCAGCCCCCTACCCCAAACTAGTAAATCCGGCCCTCCAAAAGGGTGGGTTATTTTCTAAATAATTGTTTCTGTCTGATTTATGAGTCATTTTCCTCTTGCAGACAAATAAATAAATTTTCCACAATGATTCCACAAGGGATAGCATGATCACATCACAGCAAGAAGGTCGCTGGTTTGAGCTTCAGCTAGGTCAGTTGGCATTTCTTTGTGGAGTTTGCATTTGAAGTTGGATGTTTCCCAGTGATGCGTTGCAGCTGGAAGGGCATCAGCTGTGTAAAACATAGGCTGGATAAGTTGGGGGTTCATTCTGCTGTGATGACCCCAGATTAATAAAGGGACTGAGCTGAAAAGAAAAGGAATGAATGAAAATTCTACAAGGTATTGTTATATCTGTGTGGGCGTTTGGTCAAAGAAATGAACAAAGAAATGAGTTTTTATGAATTTAGAATATTAATATTATCAGACCTATAGTCAATTAAATTTAAAGCTACAATTTATTTGGAATAAAACAAATGTTTATTTAAAAAAAAGGATTTTTTTGATTGATTAAAAAAACCATAACAACAACGCATAAAAATAAAATAACTAAATGAAATACATGATTTATACAATTATATTAATGTCATTAAGAATTATTCATTCATTTATTTTCTTGTCGGCTTAGTCCCTTTATTAATCCGGGGTCGCCACAGAGGAATGAACCACCAACTTATCCAGAAAGTTGTTACGCAGTGGATGCCCTTCCAGCCGCAACCCATCTCTGGGAAAATTAAGAATTAATTTGACTATATTAATATAAAATTGCTTAAATTAATTTGGTATTCGAAAATGAATATATTTATTATTAAATATGACATAAAATACTCTGCTTCATATACTTCAGCTCATCCCATGAACATGACGTCTTCAGGAGTCCCGTAGGATGTAATGAAGACCACAATACGTATTGTGGTGCATATGTGCCCTCTAGCGGTGAAAAGTGTTTATTGTGAGGGATAGACCAACCAATGCCGAGCTAGCGTGTTTCCCATTACTGATAAATTTCCGGTGACCTGATATTGTGTTTTTTCCATTTTATACGGTTCCTTTTACAGCATCGATGTTGTAATATCATTCAAATAAAATCACTTAAACAGACTTTGCCATTCATTTAGTTGCTCAAGCGTAAAACGAGACAAAAAGCAGTTTACTCGCACTCGCCCTTCAGAATTGGCAGGCTAGCGCAGAAGCTTCATTGAATACACAGGGGGTAAAATAAATGCTCATATTATAAAGACATGGCCGGGGAAATGTAATTTAATGGCGTGCTTCTTATACAATCTGAGACCCAATTTATATTGGATATCACTCAGCCAGTGGAGATCACTGATTTTTAAAGAAAACAGACCTTAAACGAGCTGATTTTGTATCGCCGATTAACCAAGGTTACTGGCAAATTAAAAGTCCTATTAGCATGCTTTGGTATTTACCCTTTTCTGTCACCATTAACTGATATTTGGTTGGTCCAACCCGGTTTGTCTTTCTTCCTTTTGTAAAAAAGAAAATAAGATATCTTATTTTGTCTTTAACTAAAGAAATAATCTAATAAACATTTGGAATATTGGCCTATTTCACAAAATGGTAATCGAGACCAGAAGTAGGGAAAACTTTGTTCTGGTAGAAGTAAAAAGTGCAATGGCAGAGACTAAGAGCAGAGGTTGTGACTTTTTTTTCAGCAAAGAGCCTCTTTTTTTCTTTTCCCTGCTGAAAAATCCAGCTTAAACCAGTCTAGGCTGGTTTAAGCTGGATTTTTCAGCAGGGTTTTTATCAAATGCATTTTTTAAAGAGCCATTTGGGGTGTGTGTATATAACAAAACCTTTATTTATGTCCATGCACAACTTAAAAATAAACAAATATGACGAATCACAACGTATGAAGAAAGGACAACTTACGTGCGTGAGGTTAACATGGAAATGTAAGTTGCTTGCCCTTTATTGGTGTCATTATTTAAATTCCACCTCATATGTGTATTGGTTGAAACGTGCTGTGATGACCCCTAATAAAAGCCGAAGGATAGTGAGTGAGTAGTTTACAACGAAGGGGTTCACAAGCTACTTTGATTCATCAACACAGTATCACTGATGATTTGTAACCATTCACATTAAACCCAGGGTAGAGTGGCTGAGTGAAGGTGGTCTGGACTTTGTGGATAAGAGTCATTGTGTTAGAGACGCTGTAGAAGGACAGAATTCCTGCACTGTGATCCACATACACCCCTACTCTACTGCTGATGGATTGTACTGGGAGAACAGTTTTTAGGTCATTGTGAATGAATGAATGATCACCGGGATAGCAGAACAAACACCATGACTGATCATTACCTCCAAATATACAGTCTTTACTTTGTCCCTTCCTTCTGATGCCCTTATATGACACTGATATACACACGCCATATCCACTCCACTTAATCTCCCAGTAACACCGTCCACTTACACTCTCTCTACACAACACCTGGCACAACTGATCAAATCTGTCTGGATGATCAGGATACGGCTGTGGTGTGTTAGTGTAGGTAATCATGTTGCTTGACAGGCAGAGGTATTTATTCACTGTGTTCAGATCCAGAGTGAATCGAGAATAATCTGATGGAGTGAAAATACACAGAAATCAGCAAATATCAATGTGTTTTATCTTCTATGAAATTCCCACTGCAGTTAAGAGTTAAAAGATTTTATAATGAAAAACGAATGTAATCTTTTGCATAAACGTTTCAAGAGTTCACACTTAGCTGATGATTGATTATAAAGCTTATTTGGCAGGCTTATTTTTTTTTAAATCCTGAAGTTCACGGTTTTGCATGGCCAAAAGTCTTTATATAAATTATCATTCATAAGCTAAATTATTAAACTCTTATGTCATGATTTTCTTTACATGAAGATCATAAAGACACTTACATTTTAGGAAGTCTCTCGTGGTCTTGGGAACAATGTTGGCGAATGTGTCTTTGAAAGGGTCATTCAATATGGGTGTCCCTAAGAAATACAGACATAAAATTACTATAACATTTTAAAGTGTTATATATAACTTTCATTATTCATTCTTTTTCATTTCAGCTCAGTCCCTTTAATATTCAGGGGTCGCCACAGCGAAATGAACCGCCAAATTATCCACCATATGTTTTATGCAGCGGATGCCCTTCCAGCCACAACCCATTCCAAATTCCATTTTCCATGAAGTTTGAACCCACAACAAAACTACAAACAATTTTTTTACACCACTACTGGAACACACATGCACATGACAGCACCACCCCATGACACACACAAACACACAATCAGAATCTGCCACTTAAACTTAAAAGTTTGAAAATGAGTGTGGCCCTCAGATAAAAACATGAAACATGAAATGATCCACTTTGATGAGGGAAAATGTAGACATTATCAGGAAGATTTACGTTGATTTTATCATTATCAGAAGATTTAGGTTGTGTCTTAATGAAAAATAAATTTGAGGATTGAAATGTAGCCTTATTATGGTGGTTTAGTAACATTTTTTGCAGAATTCGTTTCTAAGAAGCAGATTCATCTCTAGGATTTTACCTTTGTCAGAGGTCTTCCTGATCTCCTCTTTGCAGAAATCCTCCAGTTTGACTTTCAGCTGTTGAACAGATTCTTTCAAGTCATCAAAAGACAAGAGAGGATTGAAGGAAACATCTGTAGACTCAGGAGGAGCTGAGAGAGACTGGAAACTCTACAGAAAACAGAAATTCAACTCATCACATCCACACTGCACACACTCATTAGCAGAAATCCAGTCGACTGCTGATTCTGCTCTCATGAACTGTTTCTCTGTGCGTCTCCTGTCATTGCAGGATCAAGTCCACTAAGATGCTCTAGATCAGTGTTTCTCAACTGGTGGGTCGTGACCCAAAAGTGGGTCGCAGGAACATTTTCAGTGGGTCGCCGAGCGTGTGGTCAAAAAAAAAAAAAAAAAAAAAAAAGTAAAATTTGTTACTTATTTTGCTTATACCGGACTTTTATTTTGAAATGCGTGCGCTACAACCCTACCATTTGACATGTGAAATTTCATTTAATTATTGCAACAAATACGTCAAAGCGCAAGTACGACCTTGAATATGTAAAGTATGGATTTATATATTGATGACAAAAAAGACTTAAAGCCTCAGTGTGGCATATGTAGAGAGGTGCTTTCATAAGAGAGCATGAAACCTTCTAAATTTAAACAACATTTAGAAACCAGACAACATGTTTTATTAACAGTTTATTATTAACAGTATTTTTATTTGTCATTTTTACTTTGTAATACTTCTATAATTTGATCCATTTTGTTAAATGACAGCAATAAAATAGTGTTTATTTGTAAAGGCTGATTTATACTTCTGCGTCAAACGCCGGCGTATGCTACAGCGCTGACGCATAGCCCTTCGCCGTGGCCGTCGGCGTCGCTGACGTGCACCTCTTAAAAAATGTAACTACACGACGCAGCAACGCGTAGCGCAAGCTCTGTGATTGGTCGGCTTGGTAGCGCTGACAAGTCTGGGCGGGACTGAGAGCCGCGCGAATGGTGCGAGCCTGATGGAGCGATTGTTTACAAGTGTGGAGTCCCGTGAAGGAGCTCCGGATGGAAAGTTTTGTTTTGTGTTTACCTCATAGTTAAAATTGTTGCACGTCTGCCGGTTCCTGCCTCCAAATGAGCAAGGTTGAGCTACTGGTACATCCCGGAAGTGTTCAGGAAAAGCAAAAAAGCAGAGAAGAAACTCGACACAGAGGAATATTTACACCTCACTGCCCACTAGCATTTCGGAAGTGTTAATGCAGACCGACAGAGACAGCGCGCAGAAGTATAAATGAACAGCTACGCGCGTTGCATGCGACTTGGGTTACGCCGGTCACTTGACGCAGAAGTATAAACCAGGCTTAAGTCTTGGTGAATTTCTCATGATGTATCTGTCACTACTTGTTTATGTTAACAAACAAATACAAATTAAGTATATTTCCTAAAATTGTATTATAGTTCCTAAAAATTTGGGTCACGGCTTGATGACCATGTAAAAATGTGGGTCCCATGGCCAAACCAGTTGAGAACCCCTGCTCTAGATCACTTTTACCTGCAGGAAATGGATGTGATCCTGTGTGTGTGAAAGCTGCTCCAGCTCAGCACCTCTCCTCCTCAGATGATCGATCTCCTTCTCTAGTCGCTTCATGAGTCCTTCAGCTTCACTCACTGCAGTCTTCTGCTGATCTCTGATCATCTGTGTGAGCTCAGAGCGTCTTCTCTCAATTAAGCGGATGATCTCAGTAAAGATCCTGTCAGTGTCCTCCACTGCTGTCTGTGCACAGCGCTGTCGATCACAATCACACAGCCTGTGAGACACAGTGAGCTTCAGTGAGACTCAAGCTCTTTGTCTCCAGACTCACCTTCTGAGACTCCACAGCCTCTCTCAGCTGCTGAAGATCCTTCTGTCTCTGCTGAACTCTCTGCTGGAGCTTCATCTGTGTCTCCTTCAGCTCTTTCTGGAGGACAAACCAACATCAGCAAGTAACTGTCACATGTCCAGTATTTACTTAACCCGTGTGGATTGGTTAATTATATTATCAGCCCCTACGTAATAGTCGTACTTCAATAAAATAATTAGTGGCACTTTAGATGACTGTGTGAAATCTACATTGAGCCCATTTTACTGTATACTTTCTTTTTCTAATAACAATTTGCCTGTATATCAAGGATTACTAAACTTGTTCCTAGAGGTACAAGCGTACACACACAAGCGTACCGCGCCAAAACCCAAGTGAACTGCACTCAGGCACACCTCTACCAACTGGGCCAGGGCCAGCCAAGTGAACCGTGCCTGAGTCTGATTCAGAGCACTCGCACTTTTCAAACTATCCGGAAAACAGGCCTGGGCACAGTTAGGAGAACATAGTGTGAGTACGGCCTAAGACTACTATCCAAATATTGGTAAAAGACTACAATCCAAATATCGATATTGGACAACTATCCAAATATTGGTATAAGACTACTATCCAAATATCGGTATAAGACTACTATCCAAATATCGGTATAAGACTACTATCCAAATATCGGTATAAGACTACAATCCAAATATCGGTATAAGACTACTATCCAAATATTGGTATAAGACTACTATCCAAATATCGGTATAAGACTACAATCAAAAAATCGGTATAAGACTACTATCCAAATATCGGTATAAGACTACAATCCAAATATCGGTATAAGACTACTATCCAAATATTGGTATAAGACTACTATCCAAATATCGGTATAAGACTACAATCAAAAAATCGGTATAAGACTACTATCCAAATATCGGTATAAGACTACTATCCAAATATCGGTATAAGACTACAATCCAAATATCGGTATAAGACTACTATCCAAATATCGGTATAAGACTACAATCAAAAAATCGGTATAAGACTACTATCCAAATATCGGTATAAGACTACTATCCAAATATCGGTATAAGACTACTATCCAAATATCGGTATAAGACTACAATCCAAATATTGGTATAAGACTACTATCCAAATATCGGTATAAGACTACAATCCAAATATTGGTATAAGACTACTATCCAAATATCGGTATAAGACTACTATCCAAATATCGGTATAAGACTACTATCCAAATACCAAATATTATATATTGCAATAAAGTTTATGACGCCAAAAGTGGCTGATCTGTTTGGGGAAATATTTGACTGTGTGTCACTGCATATCAAACCACTTAAATGATATAACTAAAGCAATCTCCACTGTGCTGAGAGTGAGCGCTTACTGAAGACCGCATCATCGATGAGGCAAGCGTGCCCAGGCCCGAATGTAATGTGAGTGCGGGTCATCGGGGGAGATATTTACCGATATTTAGATAGTAGTCTTATACCAATATTTGGATAGTAGTGTCATACCGATATGTAGATAGTAGTCTCATACTGATATTTGGATAGTAGTCTTACACCGATATTTGGATAGTAGTCTTACACTGATATTTGGATAGTAGTCTTACACTGATATTTGGATAGTAGTCTTATACTGATATTTGGATAGTAGTCTTATACTGATATTTGGATAGTAGTCTTAAGCCTGATTTATACTTCTGCGTCAAGTGACCGGCGTAACTCACGGCGCAGGCAACGCGCGTAGCTGTGCATTTATACTTCTGCGCGCTGTCTCTGTTGGTCTGCATTAACACCTTCGAAACGCTAGTTGGCAGTGAGGTGTAAATATTCCTCTGTGTCGAGTTTCTTCGCTGCTTTTTTGCTTTTCCTGAACACTTCCGGGATGTACAAGTGGCTCAAACTCGCTCATTTTGAGGCAGAAAGCGGCGGACGTGCAGCAACTTTAACTATGAGGTAAACACAAAACAAAACTTTCCATCCGGAGCTCCTTCACGGGACTCCACACTTGTAAACAATCGCTGCATTGGGTTCGCGCCATTCGCGCGGCTCTCGGTCCCGCCCAGACTCGTCAGCGCTACCAAGCCGACCAATCACAGAGCTTGCGCTAGGCGTTGTTGCGACGTGTAGTTACATTTTTTGAGAGGTGCACGTCAGTGACGGCGACGGCCACGGCGAAGGGCTATGCGTCAGCGCCGTAGCATACGCCGGTGTTTGACGCAGAAGTATAAATCAGCCTTTATACCGATATTTGGATAGTAGTCTTATACTATATATATATATATATATATATATATATATATATATATATATATATATATATATATATATATAATATTTATATTTAATAATCATTCAGCTTCATAAACATTTGTCAATGAAATAAATGAGTTGTATGCTGAATTGTACACCTGTCACACTCTAAAATTTAATATTAATTTGGTTAAGAGCTTATAGGAAAATCAAACTGAATTTGTACTGTATGTGTGTGTATGTGCATGTCTCATGAAATAGGCACCAGAGATCATTTTTATGATTGTGTTAATTATATTTGCTAATTAAATTACATTATAAATGTAATATAATTAAACAAACTAAACAAATTAAACAAAATAAAGTATTTTCTATTTTTTGACTGATTATTTTGACAAAAGAAATTGGCATTTAAGTCATATAATTCATCTCAGGCATTTTTTGTTTTAAATATAAAACATTTACAATAATGACACTGCACTTTCATGCATATAAAAACAGACATTATATAATACAATGTACACTTCAGTTACATGCAACTATTTTTACTGAAGCAACATTTAGTTCTTTTAGGAGAATGAAATATTTATACCTACCACTGATGACACTAAATCTAGTTTTTATTTCACCACTAATTTATTTCATTTATTTATTTTTTTTACATTCAATAGATAAAAAAGTCATAATATTATTGAAATGCATGACGATGTGTGAATGATGACAAAATGTTTATTTTGGGGTGAACATTCGCATCAAGTTCATACCTGTTTCTCTGTCCTCTGTGCTGCTGTTGACATAGTTTCGTGGTTTTTATGTTCATACTCTTTACACATCAGACATATGCACATTTGATCAGTGATACAGTACATTTCTAGCTCCTTCTCATGTTTCCGGCAGATCATGTCCTGCAGTCGTTCTCTGGCATCAATCACTTTGTGTGGCTTACGAGAGTGAAACTCCTCATGACGATCAAAATGAGTTCGACAGTAAGATTCCTGACACACCAGACAGGACTTGATTGCTTTGTATTTAATTCCAGTACAGACGTCACACTGCACATCTCCAGCTCCAGCGTAACAGTCAGCAGGAGGTTTAGTCTTTAGTTTCTCCACCATTTCAGCGAGAATGGTGTTTTTAGCTAAAGCAGGTCTCGGATTGAAGGCTTCCCTGCACTGAGGGCAGCTGTAGACTCTCTTGTCATCCTCCTGATCCCAGCAGCCTGTAATGCAGGTCTTACAGTAACTGTGTCCACAGGGAATGGTCACCGGGTCCTTCAGAAGATCCAGACACACTGGACACATGAACTCCTCCAGCGAAAATCTAACTTCTGCCATTTTACTGAATACAGCAGTCGATTCATTTTCGGTTTCACTTTCCCAGTTTTTTTTTTTTTTTTTTTTTTTTTAAACTTTCAACAAGAAGACAAAATTATACATAAAAAAAGTATAAATCCTATAACAACAACAACAACAAAGACAACAGAACAAAACAAAAAGATAAGCAAAAGATACCCCCTACCAGGGGTAAAATTAATTGCAAAAATCACTTTGAATCTATCTTAAACCAAGGTCACAGTGAGGTATAAAAGGTCACATATACAATACAGTCCGCTGGGTATTACAGAAAAGTGACAATGTTGTAAGATTCACATATTGTTATTGATTTTAAAGCTTTAACATTGCTGGTGGTAGAGATTGTATTCAAATAATATTTCAAATCTTTACAAAAAAAAAAAGAAAAAAAAGAAAAAGAGGCTTTACAGACAAACATTTGCATTTGTGTATAAAAATGTTGCTAGTAATATAAATAATTTATTAAATAATAAATATAATATTTATTTTTTTACTTTATCAACATTATAAAAAAAACAAAAAAAAAACATCCCTATATGACTAAGATGAATTATTTAAAAGAGAGACACATATAAACTAAATTCTTTCCAAAAAATCTTAACATGGGAACATTCCCCAAAAAGATGATCAACAGATTCATTTATTATTCCACAAAAGAAACAATGTGGATTTTTTTCAGGAAGCATTATATATATATATATATAACAGTCAATTCAATTCAGCTTTATTTGTATAGCGCTTTTACAATGTAGATTGTGTCAAAGCAGCTTCACATAAATGGTCATAGTAACTGGAACAGTGTAGTTCAGGTTTTAGTGTTTAAGTTCAGTTCAGATCAGTTTTTTCTCAGTTCAGTGTGATTTCCATTATCCAGTGATATCCAGTCACTGGATAAACTCAATGTAGCAAATTTAATGAAACCTCTTTAACCTTATTTTTAAAAATTTGTTGGGTAAAGACCACACAATCTTCCAGGGAATGTCATGAAATAAATTATTCCAGTGAAATATGACATGAGGAATAGAGGTTATTCTAAAAAAGAAGCCAAATCATTCTATTTCTGAGAGAAGGGTTAAGCGTGAAACACATTTTTCCAATCACCGTTTCACAAGCATTAATCAATGAAGTAAAGGGGAGAACAGAATCAAGAGAGATTTTTAAAAGGGCAAAAGCTCCACTGGGAATTGCGTCCATGGCAAACTCTTGTGCGGTTATAAGAGCACAGTATTTACTTAAGAGCTCAGAATAAGAAAGTAAATGACCATTATTATAAAAAAAAAAAAATGAGAAACTAAGCAAATATTGTTCTTAAACCAACTAGGAAAAAATATAGGTTTATCTTTATAACAAATGTCATGGTTATTCCAGATATAATGCCTACGGGGACTGACGTTGTGTTTATATATTAGATGCCATGCCAATAATACTTTAAAAGAATACATTTTATGCAACTATTGTATGTTTAGTGAATTGGTTTATAATCTACATTAATTCTTCTTAGTGTGTATGTATTTACAGTATGTATCTATGTATGTATGTATGTATGTAATGTATGTAATGTATGTTTGTATATACAGTTAAAGTCAGAATTATTAGCCCCCCTGAATTATTAAACTGCTTGTTTATTTTTTCCCCAATTTCTGTTTAACGGCGAGAAGATTTCTTTAACCCATTTCTAAACATAATAGTTTTAATAACTCGTTACTTATAACTGATTTATTTTATCTTTGCCATGATGACAGTAAATAATATTTGACTAGATATTTTTCAAGACACTTCTATACAGCTTAAGGTGACATTTAAAGGCCTAACTAGGTTAATTAGGTTAACTAGGCAGGTTAGGGTAATTAGGCTACTTATGTTTGGTTTGTTCTGTAGATTATCTAGAAAAAACAGCTTAAAGGGGCTAATAATTTTGTCCCTTAAATGGTGTTTAAAAAATTTAAAACTGCTTTTATTCTAGCCGAAATAAAACAAATAAGACTTTCTCCAGAAGAAAAAATATTATCAGACACACAGTGAAAATTTCCTTGCTTTCTTAATCATAATTTGGGAAATATTGAAAAAAGGAGAAAAAAAATCGAAGGGGGCTAATAATTCTGACTTTAACTGTATGTATTTCATTCATTTATACATTTTCCTTCGGGTTAGTCTGTATTTCAGAGGTCACCACAACAGAATAAACCACCAACTATACCAATGTTTTACACAGAGGATGCCCTTCCAGCTGCAACCCAGTACTGGGAAAATGTTTGTATGTATGTATGTATGTATGCAGGAGCGCCGCTGGCCCCTACGGGCCCTCTGACAAGTAAAGGGGGAAATTGCGAACGAAAGTAAAGAGCGGGGGTAGGTTGTCGAGGATGAAAGTGAAGAGCGGATGGAGGTTGTTGCAGATGAAAGTGAAGAGTGTGGGAGTGGGGGGGGGGGGGGGTTCGGGGACGAAAGAGAAAACTAGGTTGGGGGTAAGGTTTGGTATCACGGACAAAAGTGAAGACTGGAGGGTGGGAGTTTTGGGTGTCGTGGACGAAAGTGAAGAGCAGAGGGGGATGTCAGATAAAAGTTAGGGGGGGGGGGTGTCGTGGGTGAAAGTGAAGAGGGGGGTGATTATAGGTTGTCATGGATGATAGTGAAGAGCAGGGGGTGGGGGGGCTGGCGGGGTGACTTATGGGTGTCACTGGCCCTTTAAAATGTCTTTGGGGGCCCCCTAAATGTGTGGGCCCTCAGAATCATTCTAACTTCCCCCCCTAGCGGTGCTCCTGTATGTATGTATGTATGCATGCATGCAAACAAACCTATTTATTTATTTATTTATTTATTTATTTTCTGATGACCTGCTCAGACTCTTTATGCTCCCTTGTACTTGTTCAAGCTACCAATTTACTAAATTCAAAAATAGTTTGTTTGTTTTTTTCCCTGGAGATCTTGTTTGAACTTTTTTGTATGTGACTATGCCTTTGCATTTGTCACTTGGTTAATCATGTTATATCCATAACATAGTTGCATTCCTTCATTAGGGGCTTAAGTGTCTGAATGCTTTCTGGAGCCATTGTATATTAAGATTTTCCAGCAGAGCAGAACAATCATCTGTGAACAGATAAACCAGAGCGCTGATTGTCAGCTGGCAGAGCAGACAGACAGATAGCTGATTAGAGCTGTGGAGCCATGAGATGAACATAACCTGTGACAGGCAGACAAATTAGGAGAGAGCTAAAGAGATTTATGTGCTCTAATAATATCCTCCACTAACACATTAGACATCCATAGATGATGTGGGATAAATAAGAGAGCACATCTCTATTCTGAAATCTACCAGGGACAACACAAGATACTGTAAGGTAAGATGCTGCTACTGATGGAGAATTACCACAACACTCAAACAAAGGATGCATAGTAATAAAGTACAATTTTATAGTCAGGTTTTGCGAGGTATCTTTGTCTATCGAATAATTTTATTTTAGACTGCAGTCTGAGTATCACATTTTTAGATAAATATTTAAAAGGTTTCTGTGGAGAGGTAAGCGTGATCAAACACCCAATCAGGGGGGAGAGCATGCTAGGAGCCCGGCGGCTAATCAGCGGGTCAATCAGAAATGATAAATAACACCTGTCTTTCTAGTGATTGGGCCGGAGAGACTCCCTTCTTAAGGAGAACGGGAGGAGCAGTCGGGAGAGGAGAGAACACACACACACGCATACACCGTTACCTGTGTGGTGGCATTAAACATTAAATAAAATATTTGCTTACCTGAATCGCCGACCCTGTCTTCTTCTTCCCTCAACAACGAACATTATTACAGTTTCATTCATTCATTTTCTTTTCGGCTTAGTCCTTTTATTAATCTGGGGTGGCCACAGCGAATTGAACCACCAACTTATCCAGTATATGTTTTACGCAGTGGATGCTTTTCCAGCTGCAACCCATCACTTGGAAAATTTAAGAGTTTCATTTATTCATTCATTCATTCATTCATTTTCTTGTCGGCTTAGTCCTTTTATTAATCTGGGTTCGCCACAGCGGAATGAACCGGCAACTTATCCAGCTAGTTTTTTAAGCAGCGGGTGCCCTTCCAGCTGCAACCTATCTCTGGGAAACAATCAGACACACATTCACACACACACACTCATACACTAAGGATAATTTAGCCTACCCAATTCACCTGTACCGCATGTCTTTGGACTGTGGGGGAAACCGGAGCACCCGGAGGAAACCCACGCGAACGCAAGGAGAACATGCAAACTCCACACAGAAACGCCAACTGAGCCAAGGCTCGAACCAGCGACCTTCTTGCTGTGAGGTGACAGCACTACCTACTGCGCAACTGCTTCGCCGGAGTTTCATTTAATCAAATATAATATGTTCAGTTAAGTTCCTAATCCTGACCTTCTCATAATTTTCAGAATTACCAGTCTACACAATCGTCAAGTAACTGTAGTTTATTATCATGCCACGAGCTTTGAAAAAAGAACTGATAAAGGCTGTTGTTTAACTGTAAAATCTGCTCTGTAAACCCTAATGTTGTCTTTACTTAAAGGAACAAGTAAAGTTGACTGAACATTAGTTAAAATTTAGCATTTTGGTCCTGCAACCTAAAAAATATGAGTTTATTTAATTTATATGCACTAAAAATGCATAAACGGTTCAGCGCTAAGCATTTTTTTCTACTGGCACAATCGGACCAATGGTTCAGATTTTTACTTGCCCTGCCAATATTTTCACTGGCTCCTCCAAAAAAAAAAGTTAATAGCTATTTCTTAGCCACAAATAATACAAAAAAGTGTCAAAATGTTTGTAAATATGGAACTTAAATATTTTAAAAAAATATATAAATGCGTAATAAGTAAAATTCAAAGTGTTTTAAAACAAAAGATGGCTAAAGACCAGCCAAACTGACGGCAAACTGTACAAAAGATCACTTAATTTTTTTTAGTCGTGGTGTACCCTGGTATATGTCTGCTTCCAAGACGTTAGAAAGAAATGTTTTCCTTTAGCATCATCATTTATTGTTACTGCCATTCAATTCAATTCAGCTTTATTTGTATAGCGCTTTTACAATGTAGATTGTGTCAAATCAGCTTCACATAAATGGTCATAGTAACTGGAACAGTGAAGTTCAGTTTTTAGTGTTTAAGTTCAGTTCAGTTTAGCTCAGTTCAGTGTGATTTAAAATCATTACTGAGAGTTCAAACACTGAAGAGCAAATTCATCGATGCGTAGCTCTACCAGTCCTGAACCAAGCGAGCCAGTGGCGACAGCGGAGAGGGAAAAAAAAACTTCAACTGATAGGAGAGTGAAGAAAAAAAACCTTGAGTTGCTGTCTCTTCCCTGTACTAATAACGTGCTCACAACATCAGATCAGATAAGAAGAACCGAGTAGGTAGCATTTGAAGGCTTGAAAATACGAACGGTTTCTCAATTCTAAAACTGTATTTGCACACAATTGACAAATAGTCACAGGCAAATTTAACTTTAGTACCAAGGCACCAGTGGCCCGATCGGGCCAGTAATGATCCTGTCTACTGTCCCAAGCATCCCACACGCTGGGTCCAGGCCATCGGGCAGTCCTTATTGTTAAGCCCTGATGAACTTAACATTTCAGTATGGTAAGTTCAAAATCACGATTAATCCTTTGAAAAAAAAAACCGGGTCATTTTTAATGTCGTCTTGATTGTAAAACTCTAATATGTGCAACCTTTTGCAAGGTCTTTTTATTAATCAGAAAACAAGGCTTTATGTATAATTATTCACCATAATGGGAATGAATAGCTACTTATTTTTCTTTTGAACCTTTTTTTTCATATTGTATAATTACACACAGAGACACACACACTGAACTGAACAGTTTAAGTATAATCAGCCAAAGTTAAATAGACTTAAATATGCAAGTTCTGGGAGACTCCGTTACTCAATAAAATTGAGGCAACGAGTTTACTCAATTAATTTCGTTCTGTCAACTTAGGGTTTCCGTGTGTACATACTAAAGAGTCAAACTTAAATTAAACTGCAAAAACTGAAAATTGTTGTTTTTGTGCTATATACTTTATTAAAATAGTGTTATGGTGAACTAGAATGTTTTAGCAAATACTGTTCATTTATTTGAGTTTGTTGTTGTTTGTAACCTCAGAAAATACTGTACACATTTAGACCAAAGTTTAAGTCTAAATTCTTGGCTTTGTGTTCTTGGCCAAGATGTAATAATGAATCTGTTTGCTCTCTTACAGACCTTATCCCTAAAAATGCCTGAACAAGGGTGAGTGGTGGTGATCTCTAAGACCAGCAGCAATAATCTACACCAATCTAATATATTATACCTCTTTACTAACATGCATTTTTTTGTTTGTGTTTTTTTTCTCTACAGTCAAGAAGTAAGTATGCATACTTTTCTTTCTTTTTTTTTTTTTGGTAACACTTTATTTTGATGGTTCATTTGAGTATTAGTAGACTGTCTGCTTAATATCTATTAATTCTGCTCCTTTAACAGACATTTAACTGACTATAAGAATCTTTGCAAGTACATGTCAACTTACACTAACACTAACCCCAAACTAACAATCTACTTATAATATACTAAGAATTAGTTGCCATGTAGATGCAATGAAACTTAAATTCAACAAACGGACCATCAAAATAAAAGTGTGACCTATTTTTCCAATAATTGACCATAAGTTTGATTATGTTATGATCAATACCTGTACTATTTTATCTTTTTTAACTTTTTATCACATCTGTGGCCTAGAGGAAGTCCAAGATCTCAGCCTCAAGAAAACTCATGCTAAAGGTTGGTGTGCAACACACACAAATTTACATACTCTTAGCAAAAAGATAACGTGTATTACACATTTTACAATGATTTAAATCAGCCACTCACTAAAATATTATTTAGTAACATTTAGTAACATTTTAGCAACATGTGACAAAAAAGCATATTAGATCAATAATCACTTGATGACATGTAAAAGACAAGATAATTGTAAACTGCAATCAATATTTTCCCCACTATGTTTAAAACCAATTAGTTTTGCCCAATTGCCAACAAAAAGAGTATGATAATCTATTCTTTTGTATTTTTGACCTAAGGACAAGAGGATTGTTTTAGAGTCAACACTAGATGGCAGACATGTTTCTAAAATAATATGATATTTGGCATGTACAATTCTCACAAGCAAGCCGGTCCCAGTTCTGAAAACAGACTTAAAGAGTGAAAATAATAATAATAGTAATAATAAAATTAATTAATTTATTGATTGATTAATAATAATAATAATAATAATAATAATAATAATAATAATAGTAATAATAATAATAATAATAATAATAGTAATAATAATATTAATAATAATAATAATATTTCCCAGAGATGGGTTGCGGCTGGAAGGGCATCCACTGTGTAAAAAATGTCCTGAATAAGTTGGCGGTTCATTCCGCTGTGGCGACCCCGGATTAATAAAAGGACTGAGCCAACAAGAAAATGAATGAATTAATAATAATAATAATAATAATAATAAGGGTGAAGCAGTAGCACAGTAGGTAGTGCTGTCGCCTCGCAGCAATAAGGTCGCAAGTTCAAGCCTTGGCTGGGTCAGTTGGCGTTTCTGTGTGGAGCTTGCATGTTCTCCCTGCATTCGGGTGGGTTTCCTCCGGGTGTTCCAGTTTCCCCCACAGTCCAAGAAATGCAGTGCAGGTGAACTAGGTAGGCTAAAATTGTCCGTTGTTCGCATGGGGTTCCTCTGGGTGCTCCGGTTTCCCCATACAAGTGAATCGGGTAGGCTAAAATGTCCATAGTGTATGAGTGTTTGTGGATGTTACCCAGAGATGGGTTGCAGCTGGAAGGGCATCCGCTGCATAAAAACATATGCTGGATAAGTTGGCGGTTCCTTCCACTGTGGCGACCCCAGAATCATAAAGGGACTAAGCCGAAAAGAAAATGACTGAATGAATGAATGACGATAAGTCAAGATGTGACATAAAATCTGTCATTGTTGTTCTTCACGTTCACTTATTATTAATACGAATCGCCTAGTTTTACATGTTGACTATTGTAAAACAGTTATGTAGTCTAATCCTGTCACAAATTAGACAAAATGTGTAGACACCACACGTTGAAACAGACTAACTGGCATTAATTTGTTCAGAGTTTGATGGTGGCCAAAGCCAAAGAGGAGCTGGATCAGGAGGTGTTGGATAAAGAGGAGGATAAGCAGAAGTATCTGATGGAGAAAGCTCCTCCTCTGCAGACACAGAGCATGTCATTCTCTGAGCTTCAGGTAACCTCATGCGTCCACTTTTTAATCTGCAGTTTTAGTCATTAGGTGCCACATGAAAAACCTGACAACTTGAAATCGAATGGTACAATCACTGCTGTCACATCACCCCACCCGTATTTCCATATTAGCTTTCATAAGGGTGATGCAAATGTATTGCCCAGTGCCTGTCCATCTTAATTTGACTAATTGCAATGTAAATAGTCACTCTAGCCAGCCACAATCATTAGTATGAGATGAATGTCTGTGTAAATTGATAAGCAGAAAAATTTGCCTTTTGATATTTGGTTGTCATAAGAAAATGCCTTTCCGATGTTGTTAGTTGACACCCTGTGTAATGTTATACTCATTCACTGAATTAACATTTCTGGCTCCTTTAGGGACTCTGTCAAGAGCTTCATGCTAAGATAGATTTGGTGGATGAAGAGCGCTATGATATTGAAGCCAAAGTCTTACTGAATAAGCGTGAGGTATGACAATCCACATAAACCATGCTTTAATAACCAGTCAGACAATGTCATAACTTGGTGTCTTCATCTGGTCTATTTGTGGGGTTCTAATAGTGTGCATGTCTGAGTATTTAGCTTTCATCAAATTTCATTTATTTCCTTTTTAAAATTGTATTTATTTATGAACAATGGCGTATATAACAATGAGGTTCACATGGTAAACATATGGAATGTGGATTGTTGGAATCCAGCTAGCAAAATTCATGTGGCTCAAATCCGGCCCACACCAGACACTTACATCCGGCCCACATTCAGCATGGAATGATGGCACTTGGGCGGTCCGCTCCTGTTTGCAAGATCTGGGCCACAATTAAGCCATAGCAATTTCACATATCATCCAGAATTCAACCAAATGAACCAGAACTTACCCTATTCTGGGTCACAGTTTGCTTTTATTCTGGCTCAGATCTAGCCCACACTAGACACTTACATCTGGACCACAGACTGAATAGAATGATGGCTCTAGAGCGGTCCGCTCCTGTTTGTCAGATCTGGGCCACAAATAAGTCAAAGAAATACCTTGTATTAACCAGAATTCAACCAAATGAACCAGAACTGATCCTATTCTGGGTCACAGTTTGCTTCTATTCTGGCCCAGATCTGGCCTATTACTTCTAATAATGGATTAAATATTGGTAACCGACAGTGAATTGTATTATTTCATCACATGTTGTGCCTCACTTATTTTATTTCTTTATTTTTTTTCTACTTGGCTAGTTTGCTGTAACGACTAGTCTGTTCAAGCAAAGTTCTTAAAAGTTACAGCTTAAATAAGCAGTTTTGTTAAATTCCAAGACCTAAAATTACAAGCCGTGGCAATTCAAGTCATTAAAATGCAAGCAGTTGTTAATTCAATGTATTATTATTAATTATTTTAGTTGGTGCTATTCGACAAGGTTTTTATTTCAATACATTTGGCATTGATTTTGTTCCATATAAAACTCACACATTTTATTCGTCTGCAAATTGTTATTACATACTTTCCCACTTACTCAAATGTCATGTAAGATGTATTGATTTACTTAATAGTACTCATTCATTGAATTCAGTTTTTCAAGTAAAAGTGATGAAGCATAATGAAATAAGGAAAGGGAATTAGGGTTTTATCAAAATTGTATCATAAATGATCACAAGAGATTCATTTAAACCCATGTTAACACAAGGTGGAATATAACAACGCAATCTCACAGCAGTTTGTAACTTTTTGATTTAGTGGCTAATTTGTATGAATTTGTACGATCTAATTCGTACAATTAAGTCTGATTTGCTCATCCCCCAATGACGGTTTGGGTTAGGGGTGGGGTTGGGTGCCACGCCTCCTTTTTAAAATCGTACAATTTCGTACGACTCAACTCCAATTCGTTCGAATTAGCAACTAAACTGACAAAACGTAAAATACTTACATTTCCTCGTGAGATCAGGCTGAATATAATGTATTTTATGCTCAAAGGTGAACCATATATTAATGATAACATTCTCTGTCCATTCTGTAGATCAAAGATCTAAACATTAAAGTTTTGGACCTGAGAGGTAAGTTCAAGCGGCCCCCGCTGAGGAGGGTAAGGGTGTCTGCAGATGCCATTCTCCGGTCACTGCTAGGCTCAAAACACAAAGTCTCCATGGACCTACGAGCCAACCTCAAATCTGTGAAAAAAGAAGATACGGAGAAGGTATGATGGCATATGAATTCAGAATACATACACTCCTATTCAAGAGCCTTAGAAAAATGCTTATTTCAGAAGAAAATTTTAGATGACACTTAAAGGTTTTGCGTCTGAACTCTTCATATATATATATATATATATATATATATATATATATATATATATATATATATATATATATATATATATATACACATGTGTATACAGTTGAAGTCAGATATTTTAGCCCCACTTTTTTTTGTTTTTGATTTTTTTGTTTTCTTTTTTAAATATTTCCAAAATGATGTTTAACAGTGCAGGGACATTTTCATAGTATGTCTGATAATATATATTTTTTTTTTTTTCTGGAGGAAGTCTTATTTGTTTAATTTCAGCTAGAATAAAAGCAGTTTTTATATTTGTTTAAAAACATTTTAAGGACAAAAGTATTACACTCTTTAAGCCAGGGGTCACCAATCCTGGTCCTGGAGGGCCGGTGTCCCTGTAGGGTTTAGCTCCATCTTGCCTCAACAGACCTGCCTGAAAATTTCCAGTATACCTAGAAAGAGCTTAATTAGCTGGTTCAGGTGTGTCTAATTGGGGTTGGAACTAAACTTTGCAGGACACTGGCCCTCCAGGAATGAGTTTGGATACCCCTGCTCTAGGCCAAAGGGTTTTGAGTGAATCAATGCAGAGTTTGGACACTTTACAAGGGTATATCTGTGCAAATGCATGCGTATGATATCATATAAAATGAACTACACAGGTAGGTAATTGTTTGGAATGGTCCAATGCTCCAAATCCTGCTGATAATGATTCAGATAATGGGGGAAAGCTTCTATCTACGAAACATGTTAAAACATCACAAACCTACTTTTGTATTGCTTACTTCCAAACTGTCACTTGGACAGCTTGACTCAAGAAATAGTCAAAGCTCATCATTCAGATATGAAGTTAAACAATACATCCTGACAAGGCAGAGCTTATGAGAGATGAGGCGGATGACATCATCACCATCAGTTGTTTAAAAGGGCAGAGGCTCATGGAAATCAAGGTGGAGGAGAGAAAGGTTATGCTTTAGAGAACAAGCAGTGTGTCCGTGACACAGTGATGATGTAAAATCCTTTCAGAGTTTTATGAATATAATGGAGGTTGGGTGTTGTATGACTGGCATGAGAGTGGACAACAGAAGGATGATGCACTGAAAGAATGGCTTTTGTGTTGATGTGCAGCTGAATTCAATAGATATAACCCTTATGTGCTCAAAGAGATGAAACACTGCAGAAGAGACCAAACCCGTCAAGTGAAAACAGAGGATTAGAAAGACTAGGCGATGATGGTGATCTACATTTGCCAGCAGTTTTATTAAGTACACCTCGCTAGTAGCAGTGTGGACCTGCACACATCTCTTACGACACATTGTTAATTGCCATATATTCAAATTTACTCTACCTGACAGAAGTCTTGACACCAACAGATTAACATCATACTTCTCTTGTCCACTCTCATGCTCAATAACATTCATCTCTGATGACTGGGTTGGCCAATCCTGGAGCACTTTAAACTTCTTTGCTTTTAGGAACTTTCGATGTGGTGGCAGGAGAAAGAGCGCTATCCTGCTGAAGAATTTCCCCTCTCCTGTGGTTTGTAAAGTAATGGGCTGCACAAATGTCTTGATACCTCAGATTGTTGATGTTGCTATCTCTGCAGATCTCTCCGAACCCCAAACAATAATTTTTCCTTCATCAAACTTGTCTGATTTCTGTAAGAATCTTGGGTCCATGTGGTTTCCAATATGTCTTTTGCTGTATTTATGATGATTGGGATGCAGTTCAACAGATGATTCATCACAAAGTTTACCTTCTGCAACTTTTCCAATCGATCAACTAGACTTTTTTCAGGTAGTGTAAATGAGTAAATATTGATGAAACACAAATGTTTGAAACATATGTTTACTTTTGAATGGCGGTCAATATAAAATGATTCCTTTCAGAACTAGTTGGTTCTAGCACCATTAAAATTAATTAATTATTGTATATATATATGTATATGTATATATATATATATATATATATATATATATATATATATATATATATATATATATATATATATATATATATATATATATATATATATAATTTAAGTCAAATCTTTCATTCATTCACTTCATTTTTCAGCTTAGTCCCTTTATTAATCAGGGGTCGCCACAGTGGAATGAACCGCCAACTTATCCAGCATATGTTTTAGGCAGCGGATGCCCTTCCAGCTGCAAACCATCACTGGAAAACATCCATACACACTCATTCACACACATACACGGACAATTTAGCTTACCTAATCCACCTATACCACGTCTTTGGGTTTGTGGGGGAAACCGGAGCATCCGGAGGAAGTCCACGTGAATACAGGGAGAACATGCAAACTCCACACAGAAATGCCAACTGACCCAGCCGAGGCTCGAACCAGCGACCTTCTTGCTGTGAGCTGATTGTGCTACCTACTCAAGTTGAAACAATTAATTTGAATGAAATCTAATGGAATAATCTGATCATATATCACATTTATGTTTATCAATGAAGCTTAAGAGAACACTTGTGTGTCTTTCTACAGAAGAGGCCGGTTGAGGACAGCGATTGGAGGAAGAATGTAGAGGCCATGTCTGGTATGGAGGGAAGAAAAAAGATGTTTGATGCAGCGAAAGTCTCCACCCAGTGAAACCTAGCGAATCTCAAAGAAAAGTCTATGCAGCCATTTGGCAACTGAGGTTTAGAGTTGCATTCTAAATCAAATACCAGATTATAAAGTAGGCTAGTTTAATAGTCCAGTTTATTTCATGATTATTTTCATGATTTTAGGTTGAAGGAAGGTAGTGGAGTAAAAGTACAGATACTAAACTAAAAATGTACTCAAGGCAAAGTAAAAGTACACAATTTTAAAACTACTTAGTAAATTACAATTCCTGAGAAAACTACTCAATTACACTAATTTGAGTATTTGTGATCAGTCACTTTACATCACTGCCATTAAGTAAATAATTACCAGCTCAGTGTATGTTTTATGTCAATATTCAGTTATTATGAAGAGTCAACGCAAGGTGTGACAATGTATTATGTGAATAAACATAAGTGAAACAGTTATCGATGTATACTTGACTCAATACATGTGTAGTCTAACTCGCATTTCTCTGAAAATTTGGTCTATGGATCATAATACTAACCTGCAGTGTTGAATATAAATATTCAAAAATAAAAAAAGCACAAAGTATGGAAAGTCCGATAACTGCTTTTTTTTTTTTGCGTGCCATATCAGTCAAATGCCTGAAGAACTGAGCACATGTGCTGTGTTTCTTTGTTTATGCAAATGTTTAATTTGCTGTTGAATAGGCCATCATGCATAGATGATGAGATCAGGAGCTGGAGCAGGAAGTGAGGCACTAACTGTACCATCTGAAGACAGTGGACTCCAACCCTTATTTGCATACTGTGGATCTCTGTCTTCTCTGTGTTGGCCCTGGGTGGAGTGTTCAGGCCATACTGTCTTATTTAACGTTTAGCAGACAAAGTTCATCATGACGTCCTTTATGTGGAATGTTTTTTCTTTCTCTGTCTTTCTGTAATGCATGAGTGAATACAGAAGCATTTGTACATGTAACAATATTGCGGAAACATGTCATTCCAGTAGTCTATTATTTCCTTTCAGGCCAAACGTACTGGATTGACTGCTATACTGCTCCGGTCAAAGTACAGCAGGTCGGTTTGTCTTTTATAGGTGTGGCACAGGAATAAAGTAAACACTTCCAGCCCTTTGAATGAATTTTGAACTGAAGAGCAAATGCCACTGTGAGTAGCTGACACTGAAAATGATGTCCTATATGCTTGACTTGTGTACTGAAATGTCATGGAATTTCTGAGCTGACATAAGACAATAAGGCTGCATCCTTTTTAAACATGCACAGCATTTGACCTCATCTTCACTGCTATGTGATGTAATGCAACAGAACCAGACGGAGGTCTTTTACTGCATTAGATGAGGTCATTTTTATATATTTGTAGTGCTGTTGCCTCACAGCAAGAAGGTTGCTGGTTCGAGCCTCAGCTGGGTCAGTTAGACTCTCTGTGGAGTTTGCATGTTCTCCCCACGTTCAGGTGGTTTTTCCTCCGGGTGCTCCGGTTTCCCCAATAAGTCCAAAGACATGTGGTACAGGAAAACTGAGTAAGCAAATTGTCCATAGAGTATGTGTGTGAATGACTGTAACTGTATGTTTCCCAGTGATGGGTTGCAGCTGGAAAGGCATTCGCTGCGTAAAACATTTGCTGGATTAGTTGGTGGTTCATTCCGCTATGGCAACCCCAGATTAATAAAGGGACCAAGAAAATGAACGAATTAATAATTAGATATGGAAACAGGCCTGGTTCTTGCGTAAAGAGTGTGTATTCAAGTAATTAAATGATTGCATATTCTATTAAGTCAATATAAGCACAAATGTGGTTTTAATAAAGAGTTATTTTACAATCCAGTCAACATTCAGAATGGATAACGTCTGGACTAACAAGTCCACTAATTCAAGCAATGTTATAATCCTTTTAAAGGTAGAATGAAGTTTGTGTAAACATTAATATTCAGGTAATATTTTGATGAGAGAAACTGGAGAGAAATCGAGTATGTCTGTGTCCAGTGTGAGTCTTCTGTGTGAGAATAAACATTTACTGATTGTGAGTGGCGGGGGGTGGTTCGGGTGGTCCAGACTGAATTTTTGCAACTATATTATCATATAATTTGTGGAAATAACCAATCGAAGGTTTTAGGAAAACGCACAATATGACATAAGTGAAGTCGACTTTCACTGTTGACCTACTGATGTTTAAAATTTAAAAAAATACAAGTAGCCTAACTTTTATTCTAAATCTTGAACCTCATTCTTGAGAGAAAAAAAACTGACCTGATCTGTTCTGAAGCACCAAAAGCAGCTAATACAAGTTAATTTTAATACTAATTAGACTGTGTGTAAAAACAAAAAATCAAAAAGTTCTCAGGGGTAGCTTAAATAATGTGTCGGTGCTCTTTGTGTAAGGGAATCATCAGAATAAACATCGAAATCAGTCCAAGGCACTTAAAAATGTGGGAAAAATAATAAGCCTTTATTGACATGGCTGTTCCTTACAACTGCGGCTACATCAGGTTACCCTGATGAAGTCAAGTTATCAAAAGTGTAGGCGCAGTTTTAAGAATTATAGCCATGTCAGGAAAGGCTTTTTATTATTTTTTCCACATTTTTCATGTGCCTTAAACTGACTTTTGCTGTTTAATTAAGCTGTTTTTGTTAGATGAATTTTCAAGAGAGGCTATAAGAAAATCGTGAAGCTCTTTTTTTTATATATTTGTTTATTATAAATTTTTAGGAAATATTTTGGTACATCTAAAATGGAGGATACAACAATCTAATAGTTAAAAATAGTGCTTAAAATGCCACTTATTTGAGTATTTAAACATCATAATTATATAGAAAATAAGGTGAATAACTGCAAAAAAAAAAAAAAAAAAGTGCTCATTTTGAGAAAAAAGAACCACCCCTTTCACCAGGCTAAAGCCTACAGGGCTAAAATACGCAAGAGAGAATCTAATAATGCCAAATGTCTGACTTGAAAATAGTCTATTTATATGTAGCCAATCACAGAGATCAAGAATATGTTTGTAACATAATTAATTATCTCATAATTTCATTTTGAAATTATATAGAATTATGCATGGTTGTATTCTTGATGCCATCATTGTTTTTTGCATTGAGGACAAGGACCACAACCCCTCCTCAAAAAAAAAAAATATATATATATATATATATATTTACAATATTTCTTATAAATAAATATATAAAAATATTAATATTTATTTTAAATAAATAAAATCATGAATATTGCTGTTGGTATTATTATTATTATTCAATTAATATTATAAATAAATAACAGAAGTCAGTCCTAAATGTAACTGGAACACATATATGCTAAGATCATTTAAGAAATCGTTTGTGGGAATATTAATTTAATTTGATAATTCTATAAGATACAGAAATATGATAATAATAACATATGGGTTTTGAAGCGTCGCATAAAACAACCCTTCTTTGGTCGTGGATGTCGGGTAGATGTGGAGTTCCTCTTTATACCCGTCGCGAGCTGTAGAGCTGCTCAAGGGCTTAAACACGATGCAGGAGTCGATCAAATACGGAAGCAATATAATAACAATGTATTAAGAGTAAATGAGTAGCCTGTGCTGTGATGTGCCGCTCGGCGGGAGGTGATGATGATGGTGGTCATGTGACGCGGCGCTCGTCAAGGTGCGGGGTAAAGGTGGCACACAGACTCAGACAAGAGGACTTCATACACCTCCGCACACCTCTCTACAGCCCAGTTCTACACTAGAAAATACAATAATGTCCATTAGCCGGAAAAACTGGTCCGCTTTGTCAACGTGAGTAGACTTTAATTAATATTTAAGCGTTTATTGTAAGGGTTTTCTGACAGGTTGCAGAAGCAAGTGTCAGTGTTTAGACGCCAGCTATGTTGTAAACGTATCCGTAATTCACTTCAAATATCTGCAGTACAATTATTTTGCCAGGTTTCTACTTTTTTTATACATTTACTCTGATTTCTGAGAACAAAACTAACATTTTAAGACTTTAATATAATCACATGCTCCAAGAAAAAAAAAACATTATTATTATTTCATAAATATAGCACCTGAGGCAGCAATTTAAGAGTAATTTGGACATTTACAACCATGTTGGTTGCAGAAAACAATATGTTGGCTAACAACTTTAATGACTAAAATAAAAACTGAAAGTAATTTAGTGCAGACTGGACATGCCAATGAAGTCTGAGCTGCAAGTCGGTGTTATTTTGACAGCTAGTGAAATGCACTCATATGGAAAGTAATGCCACGCTTTCAGACTTGAGGCACTGAGTATTCTTTAACCAAAACAGAGCTTGAAAAACCAGTTATTGCACAATGAAACACTGTTTTCAAACTGAAATACAATAGTCCACCTCTGGGATGTATCATCGAGACCTTTGATCGTAATGCATCTTCTCATACTTTCAGAATAAACTGACGGATGGATTTCAGTAGTCAGTAGCGCAGAACTTTCATGCTATTTTCGTCTGCAAACAATTCACCAGAACTGTTTGTCTTGTCTGTCATCTGTATCAGTGGTTATAGAAATGTTTATTATATGCTTATTACACTATAAATAGACATATTATGGCCAGTAACATGTGAAGCACATATCATTGATCAACTCATAACAAGACTGCAACAAGCACAAATTGTGATAAACATGTTGGATGCAGGAGAATCTGGAGTATAAGCAGTCAAATTGTTTACTGGTCACTGAAATGGCAAGGCTATTGGTTTGCTCCAGGTCATCAGTGGTGACATTTTACCAACAGTTGTCTGAGAAGGTCAAACCACTAAATTGTGGCTGGGTGTTGGGTTTTTGAGAAGTTTACAGCAATGAGGGAAAAGAAGGGTATTCCATCTAATCTGAATTAACGAGGTCTACATTAGTATAAGTTACATAAGTCAAAAAAATATGATGGTTATGAGTGACCATATACAGTTGAAGTCAGAATTATTAGCCCCCCTGAATTATTGGGCCCCCTGTTTATGTCTTTCCCCAATTTCTGTTTAACAGAAAGCATATTTATTCAACACATTTCTCAATATAGTAGTTTTAATAAATCACTTTTAATAACTGATTTATTATATCGTTGCCATGATGAAAGTAAATAATATTTTACTAGATATTTTTCAAAACACTTCTATACAGCTTAAAGTGACATTTAAAGGCTTAACTAGGTTAATTAGGTTAACTAGGCAGGTTAGGGTAATTAGGCAAGTTATTGTATAATGATGGTTTGTTT